AACAACAAAGCTGACCCTAGTCTGCCATTGGTTTGTCCCCATTTTCCCTAGGGTTATTCAAGACTGGCTCTGAGCTATAAATCATACGGCAGAATATCGGGCCTAGTTAGCATTCGCATTTGAATGGAAGGAGACGAGACTGGAATGGTTTTGAGAGACAGACAGGAATCATAACAAAGGAAAATAGCTGTGGAGCTGACAGGCCTGCTGAAATACAGTTGCACTTATTATTATGTTTTTACTTTCCGTCAGCCGCTTCTTATTGCAGTCACTTTGCGGACAATTTTGGTTTCCGTTAAATAAGTAGAGTGTATGTTTGAGGTGAAGACATTAAGAGGGGTCGTTTCTAGAAGCCAACGTTTTTCTGCGTTTTCTGCAGCCTTGAACCAACTACGGAATGAATCACAACACCACAAACTTTGTTTTGAAGCAAAAACATCTGACTAAAAGACAAACCTACAGCAAAATTAATATCATTTCCCATGAAGCATTGCAGATGACAATAACACTACAATTTACAACTTCTATCTGGCATTAATCTTAATGGGAATTTGTCAAAAAAAAAACAAATTCCCAAATAAATCTGGGTGTTATTTTTCCTTAACCCGGCCGTTGCGCTCAATATGCTCATTACTTATTTGATAGACATATATGAGTTATGATCACACAGCCCTTTTTTCAGCTTAACATCTTTCATGCATGTTTTAAAATTGTCACAATGACATGATTTTGATTTGAAATCAGAGTAAATGCGTTCTATTATTAAATGTACTATATTAAGAATTTAACACATATCTGATGACTGCTGGCTTGATCGGTTTCATTTAGTTGTCAAAATCTCGTCGGGAAGTCGAGCTTTGAAGGCGAGTCCACGCTAAAGCTAATTAATTCGGAATGTCACAGCCTTTACGGAGCGGGAACGCTTGAAAAGCGACAGCTATGTAATGAGTTCAAGTAGGACATTCTCAGTAAAAATAAAATAAAAAAGTCACGGCTTTTCAGTCATTTGGGGTTGAAGATTGTGCCATTTGAAGATTAAATTACTACATTTCACATGCATTTAGGCGAAACGACCGCCTGGGGAGGGAAGTATTTTTAATGTTTGTTTGAAGGGCTGCCCATCACTCGTTACATAGCACGGGATCAAAGCTGGAAAGACATCATCAAAATCCCACTTCTGTTAATGTAGGCAGAGGCTCTTGGAGCCTGGCGTCTTCTTTAGCCAAATCATGCATCGTTGCAATTATTATTCACGCCTTAGAGCAGACACTGAGGAGTTTTTAACCTCAGATCCTGTTCCCCAGTCTCATGCCACCCTCTCCTGCGTGTCGGCTCTAGGGATTTAACTTTAACAATGAGGCCATATGCATTCCTGCAGCGTCCGCAGGTGACTGTGTAATCCTCTTAACTGACCTATCAAAGAGGTGCTATTTTGTTTTGTAGCCGTGACCCCATTCTTAATACGAAATGATGAAGATAAAGCCGGCTGTGGTGTTACTGTCAAAGTCGCAGTGGCGTGCTATCATGCTGTTGCTTAATTTGTGCATATCTTTTTTGTTTGTTTTTGTTTTTGTTTGTTTTGCAATGAGAACATTTGCATCTTTTTGAGCTGTAAGCGAATATATATTAATATATTTTTTATATAATTTGTTATTTTATTGATTATAAAATGTAAAATATTTTTACGTTTTATTAATATCTATTTTTAAGTAAATAAATAAATACAATTTTACACAAGCCTTTTTTAGTTTTATAAATTTTAAGCCAAGTTGCATACCACCAGGGGGCACTCAGCATGCCACAATTTTAGAACAACTGCTGTAAATTATCCATTAGTTTAAGTAGTTTGTGCACATAAACACTCCCTACTGTTTATGAATTAATAGCAGTCCCTTCTGTTAATTTGCAGACAGTAAGGATTATTTATGTCCTGACAGTGTAGAATTGTTCAGCTCAGCATTTCTGTTTTTAGCTCAAGGAAGTTTTTTAGGTCTTGTTAGTATTGTGTTCCTCGCAGTCACATTGGACCAATATAAAAGTGTTTAAAAGTACAAGCAGGACCAGTCTTTTGTTGGTTTCTTTCATCAAAGGTTTTATGTCTGGCACGTTTCACTGCACACGTCTCAAAGGATTCATTTTCAAACAAGCTTCTGTCTGAAGCTTTGCTCGCTGATAAATGAAGAATCATGGGGTTAAGTATTGATAATTAGCCACTGAAGACTGGGGCTATTTTAGAGGAAATATTTGTGAATAGTGAAGAGCTCTAATGGGCCCTCAGTGTCAGGATACCAGCTTGGCACTGGATCTAATTGGATTTACCACATGCTGGTAATCCTGCCTTGGCACATGAGTATTGACACTGAGCAGATGGGCAACCCCTCACCCATTCTGATACCCCCCTTTGCCTCTTGCTTCCACACACGCAGAAGGACGCGCTCGTGGCCCGTGACTCAGTCAGCAGACCGAATGAGTTCCCTCAAGATGCCAAACCACTCTATCAACAACGGCTCCACATCTCTCTAAAAAACACTTTTATCTCGCACACTACTTTCCTCCAATGTGTTTTCATTGGCATCCTATTCCCAGAAATAATTTTCGGGTCAGCCGGCATCTCTGACAATTACACAAATGGTCGCCACAGACTTCCCAGTTTTGCCCCATTGACACATCTTGTTTTCCACTCATCCCAGCACTTTTCCTTATCCCCAATACTTAGCTCTGATTTTCAAAGGAAAAGAAACCCGGTTAAAGCATACAACGATGTGGGAGCCAACTGGTGTTGGCCACAATTAAAGATTCGCATTGCTGGTGCCCTCAAACCCTTTTTCCATCAGAAGTATTCATTAGGCTTTTTTCCTCCCCTGATCCTCTACTTTCCCCCCAAGTACTGTACAGGAACTGGAACTGACTGTAATGTTATGACGGTAATGATAATTTTGTGGAAAAGTGGTCAGGCAACATTAGGGGGACCCAAAATTTGCAAGAAGTCTCCCAGGACTGAGCAGATCTGGTTGTTTTGATTGCCATTGCCTCATATTAGCATATCTTTGGGGCACAGAACTTTGATTGAAGGCGAGTCAAGACTACACAAATCAGACCAGATCTCCATTTTAATTAAAATATATTTCTACTAGTGTCAGTGGGCTTTCTCAGATCTTATTTCCTTTTTTTCCGGTTGGATGATTTGCTTTGGGTATGTTGTAGTTCATGGCTTTTTTAAATGTACACTTAATCTTTAGCTTCTTTAACAGATGAAGAGGGATGGAAGATATTGAAAAACCATTTTGGTTATCCTGTGAAGCATGATAAGCACAATTTGATTGAATTAAACTATTCTTTTCTTCTTTACAGGAATCATTTACCAGATGAAAGGGGACTACGACACTGCTCTGAAGCTGCACAAGGCTCATCTATCCATTGCCCAAGAGCTAAATGACTATGCGGCCCAGGGCAGAGCATATGGAAACATGGGCAATGCTTACAATGCCCTCGGTGCCTTTGACCAGGCCGTGCGCTACCACAGACAAGAGCTGCAGATTTCCATGGAGGTTAACGATCGTGCCTCGCAGGCTTCGACGCATGGTAACCTGGCGGTGGCGTACCAGGCTCTGGGGGCGCATGATCGAGCCTTGCAACATTACCAGAATCATCTGAACATTGCTCGAGAGTTGAGGGACATCCAGAGTGAGGCTCGTGCCTTGGGCAACTTGGGTAATTTTCACTGCTCTCGGGGAGAGTTTCCCCAAGCCGTACCCTACTATGAACAGTACCTACGGCTTTCCCCGGAATTGCAGGACATGGAGAGCGAGGGTAAGGTCTGCCACAATTTGGGATATGCGCACTACTGTCTGGGAAACTTCCAGGAGGCAGTGAAGTACTACGAACAAGATCTGGCACTTGCTAAGGACCTCCACGACAAGTTAAGTCAAGCCAAAGCCTACTGTAATCTGGGCCTGGCCTTCAAGGCTCTTGGTGACTACAGCAAGGCGGAGGAGTGCCAGAAGTACCTTCTTTCCTTGGCGCAGTCACTGAACAACTCGCAGGCTCGGTTCCGCGCCTTGGGCAACCTGGGAGACATCTTCCTTTGTAAGAAGGATGTTCCCGGAGCCGTCAAGTTTTACGAGCAGCAGCTGTCCTTGGCGCACCAAGTCAAGGATCGCAAGATGGAGGCGAACGCCTACGCCGCGTTGGGCGCTGCCTACCGGATGCTACAGAAATACGACAAGGCCTTAGGGTACCACACCCAGGAACTTGAGGTGTACCAGGAGCAAGGCGACATCCAGGGAGAGTGCCAGGCTCATGGACACCTCGCCGCCGTCTACATGTCTCTTGGAAAGTACACCATGGCCTTTAAATGCTACGAGGAACAGCTTGAGCTCGGTCAGCGACTGAAGGACCCCAGCATTGAGGCCCAGGTTTACGGTAACATGGGCATTACGAAAATGAACATGGGAGTAATGGAGGAGGCCATTGGCTATTTTGAGCAACAGTTGGCAATGTTGCAGCAGCTCAGTGGCAATGACGCCGTGCTGGACCGTGGTCGTGCTTATGGGAACTTGGGAGACTGCTATGACTCGCTGGGAGATTTTGAAGAGGCAATTAAGTATTATGACCAGTATCTCTCTGTGGCACAGAGCCTCAACCATATGCAGGACCAGGAGAAGGCATACAGAGGTCTTGGTAATGGACACAGGTAAGAATTCATGTCCATTTTTGTGTTATTTATAATTTTTCACTGGCTCAAAAATGTACTTGGACACACAAACGACACTTAGATAGAAAACATATCAAACCATGTTGCATCTGCAAACAAATGATTTTTTACTTGTTTTTTTCTTTCAAAATATCCTTAAAATAAGCAACTTTTTTCATAGTTTGAATATAAGTGTATTTTGTCTCACTGCACTGGCAGATTTTTTTACTTGTTTTTAACTTGTTTATAACATAAAACAAGTGTAAAAATATGCCAGTGCAGTAAGACCAAAACGAATGGAGGAGGCCATTGGCTATTTTGAGCAACAGTTGGCGATGTTGCAGCAGCTCAGTGGCAACGAGGCCGTGCTGGACCGTGGTCGTGCTTATGGGAACTTGGGAGACTGCTATGACTCGCTGGGAGATTTTGAAGAGGCAATTAAGTATTATGACCAGTATCTCTCTGTGGCACAGAGCCTCAACCATATGCAGGACCAGGAGAAGGCATACAGAGGTCTTGGTAATGGACACAGGTAAGAATTCATGTCCATTTTTGTGTTATTTATAATTTTTCACTGGCTCAAAAATGTACTTGGACACACAAACGACACTTAGATAGAAAACATATCAAACCATGTTGCATCTGCAAACAAATGATTTTTTACTTGTTTTTTCTTTCAAAATATCCTTAAAATAAGCAACTTTTTTCATAGTTTGAATATAAGTGTATTTTGTCTCACTGCACTGGCAGATTTTTTTACTTGTTTTTAACTTGTTTATAACATAAAACAAGTGTAAAAATATGCCAGTGCAGTAAGACCAAAACAACCTAATATCTTATGCAGTGTTGCTTCTTAATTAAATTATATCTTGTTTTAAGGATTTTCAAATATTTTAAAAGAAAACAAGTCAAAAAATTCTTAAGAACTCATTAAGATGTCTCTTTTTAATGTCCTGAACTACATTTGTGATAAATGTATCTTGGGGTGTATCTTGTATTTTGAGAGAATTTTTTAATATTTGAACTGGAAAATAGGACAAATACTTGTTTTTGCAGTATATAGACATGTACATGTTTTGATTTCAAACCTAACAAACTTATTTTGGTGAAATGCCACTTGATTTGATATTCTCTTATCTGATCAAATAGCATTCATACATTAAGTGACATATAAGGATAGTTCACCCAAGAATGAAAATTGTTGTGAATTGCCTTCAAGTTGAACACAGAAGAAGATGTTTTGAACAATGTTTCTGTTTTTTTTTTTTTTCATGCAATGGAAGTCATTGAGACTCAAAACAACACTGGACCCCACTGACTTTAATTTTTATTTAGATTGACATGAGGATGAGGTAAACTGACAATTGTAATTTTGGGGTGAACTATTCCTTCAAGTGCCTAAATAATTATTGACGCCAATGTAAAAAATTTACAAAAGTACTAGTCGTACTTGAGTGTAATATGCTCTTAGACAAGATTAGATAACTTTTTTTTAACATAGTGTGAATGATTTATTAGCATTCTGGAGCTGTGGAGTCTTGTGATGATGCAACAGGCTGCTTGTTATTCCAGTTGCTTCAGTCTGATAGAGGCACTAACTGTATCAGGCGACATGAGGACTGACACCTTGAGGTCAACAGGCGGACACTGAACGCTCTCACGACATGCAACAGATTGAAGATGGAATTGTTTTGTATCAGAGCATGACCCCACCTTCAACATGCATGCTGAAATGACAGTATACAGGGCTACACGCATGTACACAGAGATGCATAAAGCATAAAAGCACTTTTTGTGCTTCTCACATTCAAATTTGGGAATCACTGTCGCTTGAGTGTATCAGCAGGAGAATCTCTTCAAATGTTCACTTTTGTTCACCAAAATGGTCACTGATTCACTCTATGTTAGTGCTTTTTTTTGTATCTCTAATTTATACTTTAGTAGCAAACAAGTAAACTTGGAGTTTTTTCTGTGAATCAGTTCAAACTGATTAGTGACTCAATTTTAAAACTGATTCAAAGATTTGCTTTGATCTCTCAAATTACATTCACGTTAATGTAGCATCACGTTAATATTTTTAGTACATATGGAGATTCTGTGAACATTTTGGAAAAATAACGCAAACAAATCTTTGAATCAGAGTTTTGAATCGATTCGCTGATGTTGAGCCACTGCATTGCAAATACAGAAATATTGAATATATAATATTTTTTAGCTGTTGATTACAATACTTTTGTCTTCAACAGCAGATTTATTGCTTTATGATTTTATTTCAAACCTAGCAAACTTCTTTTAGTGAAATACGTCCTGGTTCGATATTCTGTTATATTCTAACGAAATGGCATTCATACGGTTTTTGACTTAAAGGGATAGTACACACAAAAATGAATAGTGAATTCATTTTAAAACTCGTATTCAAAGATTTGTTTGCATGATCGCTCAAAAAATGTTAACAATAGTCCATATATGATAAACAGCAACATTTATTATTTTCTTTATTACATTTTAATATAAAAAATGCCATATGGGGATTCTGTGACCATTTTTTGAGATATAATGCAAACAAATCTTTGAGTTTTGAATCGCTAATGTAATTGCTAATGTTGAGCAATGCAAATATACATAACTACTGAATATATAATGCTTTAATCTGTCGATCCCAATTTATGTATTTTTTTTTAAATAATTTTGTCATCATAATTGGCTTGTTTCAAACACCCCCAAAAATCCTATTGCAAAGTTACATAATACTTTTGGTCTTCAACGATCTTCTTTTATTGAAATACGTCATTGTTTGATATTCTGTTATTAGATGTAATAGCATTCAAAAGATTTAAAGAGAAAATTCACCCAAGAATGAATGGTGACTCAGTTTTAAAACTTTTAATTCGAAAATTAATTTGCTTGAAAAATGCAAATTGTTCTGTGGGCAGCTATGCACTCCATACATGTCTACCCAGCTTCCTTGGTGTGATCTGCCACGCATCTATTTTAATTAACATCCAATCAGCCCTTTAAGCATTCCAGCTCCCGTCACAAACCCTAGTGGATTCTGCTTACCTACGAGTATATGGGCATGGAAATATGATGAATGGTTTGCTGCAGGGGCCTGTCAAAGCTCGACGCTAAGGATTGTGGGAAGAGAACTCACACCGGGCCCGCAACGAGCCAAGCTCATCCAAACCCAAACCCCCATCCTTCCCGCGGTCCAGCGGGGAAGGTAAATTACACTGTCAGTTGTGACAATGCGCTTGCACTCCCCTCAGCAGAGAGGAGCTTTACCTCAGATAGCGTAGAAGAATCCAACAAGAACCTCATTAAAGGCCCGCGTTAAAAGCTATTTGTTTCATTTATATTGAAATGAGGCAGGGCCTTTCAACAAGACTGATGTTGCTGTAATTTCAAGTGACAGGACAACAAGGGGTAATGATGCATCGCTTTTAAGCTACCTAAGTAGTGAGCGAGTCCCCGGCCTGTATGAATTAAGCCTGGTTTTGTTATTCCACAATAATGCCGGTACCGAAGCCCGTTTCAAACCCGCTCTCCCGACGGATGGGAGCGTATGGACTGCATTTCTCTTTTTAAATGAAGTTGCATCAGCTCTGTCCTGCCACCTGTGTGTTGCTGGAATAGCTCCTATCGATCTAAAGCACGTCGTCCCTCGTGATTCCCTCACATTCAGTATTTTAGCAGCATTAAACTAGACTGCATTTTGAGATTCTGTTTCATGTGAGACGGTTCATATTCAAAGGAATACATACATCTCCAAATCGCTCTGTAAATTTGATATCAGCTTGTAAACATTCTGCATGGAATTTATTAGAGTCAAATTGAAATTTACTTTGCACTTATTTCTATTTGATTACACCACAGTCTGGAAGCAGACACACACTGCGAGCTAATAAAGCAATAAGCCGTAAACCAGATTTAACCGTAGTAAAATCACTGAAATGTCATTACATGAAATGAAAAGTTCCAGCACTAAAATCGAGTTGAATTGTATATTAATGCACCAAGATATCTACAATACTATGTTAAACTATTTTACTTGGCAGAACAATTTTATTTGAATAACTATAATTTTATTGGAATTATTAGTAGTAGTAATTGTAGTAGTATAAAACTGAAATTCCAAATATATGCACACTTGTGACCACACATCAATTGAATAGTAATATATAATTATTATTATATATTTTAAATTATATATAATAGCCGATCAGATTTTTCAATATTTTGGATTTACTCTTTTTTTTTATAGAGTAAAAAATGTGTAATATTATTGTAAAATAAAAGAAATTGTAATTAGAATGAAATAATATTTTGTTCAAATTAAATACATAATATATATAGAGAGAGAGAGAGAGAGTTCTTTTTTAGAAAAGAACAAATTTATTTAAAATTTTTAAAAAGTAATTTTATTGACATTTTTTGTATTAATAATTATTGATTAGATATTGTCATCTTTAATAGAAATTGTACTTAGAATGAAATAATATTTTGTTCAAATTAAATACATAATATATATATATATATATATATAGAGAGAGAGAGAGAGAGAGAGAGAGAGTTCTTTTTTAGAAAAGAACAAATTTATTTAAAATTTTTAAAAAGTAATTTTATTGAAATTTTTAGTATTAATAATTTAGTAAAAATTATTGATTAGATATTGTCATCTTTTATCACATTGCTGTTTGTTAGTTTTTTTGTTGTTTTTTTACAATTTACTGAAGTTGCAAATATATGCACACCTGTGACAAAACATCGATCAAATTTGAACTTGTATGATTATTAATTAATTAATTAATTTACAATGTGACTGTCATATTTTTTTAGTATTTGGGATCTTCTCTTCTTTTACTGTGTGTGTAAAATGTTTAGAAAATAATTTGTAATTTTATTATTTGTAGTAGTAATTAATTTTGAGATATTATTATTACACACACTATTATACATAATATAAATTTATTTGTTTGTTTATTTATTCACAATGTCAAGTAAAATTTCCTTGTATAGTGTTTTTAACAGTATGCATTGTGGTCAATAGCAGCTTTGCAGAAAATCGTGATGTTAATGATTATAATATCTTAATATCATCAATCCTCATATTCACATTTAGCAGATTAGAGCTGTGTGACAATATACTTTACATTTTGCGACACTATAAACAATCGCTGTACATGAGTCCTACTGTATGTATGCAGATAAAGTTGGATATACTTACATATCCAGCTTCATATAAAGAGCTGTGTGATTATAAATTTACTGTACAGTGGGTCTCAACCAATCAGATTGTTCAGTTTTACCAAAGTATTTCCTCTTACTGTATATGTATAATGTTGGTTCGCTGTGTTTGTCAGGGCGATGGGGAGTCTTCAGCAGTCTCTGGTGTGTTTTGAGAAGCGGTTGGTGGTGGCACATGAGCTGAGAGAGTGTGGAGGAAAAGCTCAGGCGTACGGAGAACTGGGCAGCTTGCACAGCCAGCTGGGTAACTACGAGCAGGCCATCTCCTGCCTGGAGCGGCAGCTCGCCATCGCCCGCGACACCCAAGATCGATTGCTGGAGGGCGACGCCAGCTGCGGCCTGGGCGCCGTGTACCAGCTGATGAGCGAACACGACACAGCCCTTGAGTTTCACCAGCTGGACCTCCAGATCGCGGAGGAGATGGGCAGCGGCAGCTGTCAGGGACGGGCCTACGGGAACCTGGGACTCACTTACGAGTCGCTGGGTAATTTTGAGCGTGCCGTGGTGTATCAGGAGCAGCACCTGAGCATCGCGGCACAGACCAACGACCTGGTGGCCAAAACTCTGGCCTACAGCAGCCTGGGACGAACACACCACGCTCTACAGAACTACTCGCAGTCCGTCATGTACCTGCAGGAAGGTAAGAGACATGATGTGGAAAATCACAGTTCCCTTTTAGTCGGTCACTACGAGTCACGTCGTGACGTCTCCGTCCCCTCCTTCAGGGAACGAGGGTTACATACGTAACCGAGATGTTCTGTTGTACTCAAACTGAGATCCATGTTATTATGCAGTTGCTAAGGTGTTTGGAGTTTTGGTATGTGGTTGCTAGGGTAGTTGTTGTTTACAGGCACAAGTCAAAAGAGTCTCTATGATATATAGTTGGGTTTCCATCCACATATTTTTATGCAAAAGTTGTGATATTGCATAGAAAAAAACGGGATACAAACACCAGGATGCAAATAACATGTTCATCATGTGCATCAAAGTATTTGAATTTGTTTTACTGTGTAATTTTTTTTAGAAAAGAACAATTTTAATAATAATATACATTTTAATGGAAGTATTAGTAATAATGATTATTGATTAGGTATTGTCATCTTTTATCATATTGCTGTTGATTTTTTGTAAACATTTGAATGAAATTGCAAATATGTGTACACCTGTGACCACACATCAGTTGAATATTAATATATAGGCCTAACTAAATAATATATTTTAAATTATGTACAATAACAAATCAGATTTAGATCTATCTATTTATCTATATATGATTTTATATTAATAATTATTGATTAGATATTTTCATCTTATCATATTGCCGCTGATTTGACACACGCACATATTATTATTATACATAATATTTATTTATTATATTTATTTACAGTGTCAAGTCAGATTTATTTCTATAACACTTTTCACTTTTCATATTTTTGTGGAAACCGTGATACATTTTTCCATGATTCTTTGATGTATAGAAAGTTCAAAAGAACAGCATTTATTTGAAATATAATGCTTTCACAACATTATAAATGTATTTACTGTCACTTTTGATGAATTCAATGCATCTTTGCCAAAAAAAAAGTAAATTTCTTTAGAAAAATCTTACTGACCACATGTACTTTAGGTAGATTAATGTTTTATTTGATGAGAATCAATTGAATAAATGACTGATTCATTTATTCAGATTATTGGCTACCTCCCAGCTAATTTTTTTGTTGTTGCATAAATTAAATTCATAATGGAAACATAATTAAAGTAAGGCTTTGAGATTTGTTTGCCTGTTTAATTGTCATCTTTTTTTT